CGGCGAGGGCCGGTGTACCGGAGCCAGGGCGGCGCCCACCCTGACCCCGGGCTGTCCCCGTTGCAGTTGTTTCGTCGTCTCCGCCGCCAGGCCCGCCGGGTCTAGTGGTCCTAAACATTTCACAATTGTACTACAGAACTGTTGAACTGTTAAGAACCACTGGACCCAGCGCGCGAGTCCGGGCGCCCTCGCCGCCCGCTGTTGGAGAGAAGGCACGCCGCCCGCGCTCGGGACAGCCGCGTGGGAGCCAGTCAGATCGCAGATGCCCTCACCGAGGGCACGGCGCCCCGCGCCCGGAGGGGACGTCAGCGCCTCCTCACCAAACCCGACGGGAGCAGGGAGTGAGGAGGGCCAGGTCTCGGAAAGCTGAACCCGGAGCGTCCCGGCAACTCCGCTCTGTGCGGCGGCGCTTTTTATGCCGTGCGCCCCTCCCCGCAGTCGGAATGCGCTCGCCGCGCCGGCCCGACCGGTCGGTCCAGGCTGACGGCTCCGGGCCGGGAGCGCGGCCGTGCGTGGCCTCGGACCTGCTCGGCGCTCGCGCGGGGGCGGCCTGACTCACGGCCCGCCCCGCCCGGCCCGCGCCCACCGGGCCTTCAGTGGGCGCACCTGGCCTCGGCTTCGTGCGTCTGCCTAGGGGCTGTCACAATGGCCCTGGGTGGACAGCAGGCGAGGTCCGAAGCGGACAGGAGCCGGGCCGGGCTCACTCCGGGGGTCGACACTCCAGGCCGCCTTCTCACTTCAAAGGGACATTCTGAGGGGGCGGGAGGGAGGCAAAGAGAAAGTGAAACCCAGGGAGGGCGGGAACCCGCTGGGCAGGTTTCTGGTTCCCAGACCCGGTCTCAGGCCCCGGGGGAAGGGTGCAGTTCTAGTTCCAATCGCGCCCACAGTAGGAGTCCCATACCTGCCCCACTTCCTGGAGCAGGGCCTTTGCCCCTGAAACCCCGCCTGCGGGGGTCTCATGCCCACCCGGTTCGCTCAGCGTGCCCCCTCCCCCAGCGCAGGCCTCCTCGGCGCCCTGCCCCATCCCCACCCCCCAACAAGCACACTGGCACGCTCATACCCATAGTAGTCCCACGTGTGCCGGCTCAGCGTCTGAGTGGCCCAGCCCGCTGAGTCACCCGGAGGTGTTGGGGCCTGACCACGGAGCCGCCTGGGGGCCTTGGATGTTTTCACAGCAGAAGAAATGGAGCAGATGGGGAGGGTGCAGGCTTTAGGAGAGAAAGCCTTAGGGAAGGAAGCTCCTCACCCTAACCCCCACCCTAGTCCCGACCTTCTCCAGTCAGGAGAGTCCACACCCAGACCTGGATGGAGGGTGGGTGGGTTAGGGTCAGTCCCAGGCCAGGCCTGCAACAAACTAGTGGGTTCGCCAAGCGTTTTTCCAAGTTCCCTTTAATGGTCACAACCACCTAACAAGTGAGTAGCAAAGCTTTGATTCCATTTTACAGTTGGGGAAGCTGAGGCTCAGAGAGGAGCAAGCACTCCATGGCAGAGTGGCCAGCAGCTACCAGGCCTGTGTGTATCTGGAATGTGTCCGTGTGTGAAGTGGGAGGCTGCTGGAGCCCAGCATTGGACCTGTAAGTGGGTGTCACCCAAAAGCGGCCTGGACCCAAAATGGAATTTCTTTTCCTCCACCTTCCTCCCAACTGCCTCTAGGAAGGAGAGGGGGAAAGGGTTTCATGAGCTGGAAGCAGCAGGCAAGACCCACTCACTCCCCACCTAATTGCTACTTCTAGTTCTAACCCTAGTAGAGAGTCCTGGTGTGGCGCTGTAGGATAAAGCGCGGGTCTGGAAGGTCGGTTTGAACCACAAGGTTGGCAGTTGGAGCTCACCAGCCACTCCTTGGAAACCCTATACAGGGTCGCTATGGGTCAGAACCGGCTTGACAGCACTTAACAACAATCCTAGTGTAGTCCAGTCCCCACTCGCACCCTGGACTGGTCATTCTCCAGCATCAGAGGAAGGGGGGACAGATGGAATGGTGACCACTCTGAGCCTCTGTGGTTCCTACTTGCAGCAGAGGTACTGAGATGTAACCAGAAGAAAAACCCCCCAGTATGAAGGAAAAACCAGGGTTCCCTAATCTGGGGGTGACCAGGGAGTTGGGGGGGGCACGTCCCTGACTGCCAGGAGTCTGGCTTTGTAGAAATCTCTGGGAGAGCCGATAGAGACTTTGAAGAAGATGTCCCACAGAGATAGGAAGGGATGGGTTCTTGGGAGCTGGGGCCTCACCCATGACGAAATTACCAGGTGAGACAGGGATGCGCACTGCCTCAAGGCGGGTCCCTCTGAGACTCTGAGAGTCAAGGGGCCTCCCACGTTAAATCAGGCACTTGCTGTGCGTCAGTCTGGCTATACCTTTTTCGATCCACTACCTTTGTGGTGGTGGCTGGAGGCTGGCTGATGCTGATGGTCAGTGGCCAGCTTTGTGCCTCGAGCCAACTGTGTAATGAGGAGTGACATGAAACTCGCCCCACCTCCATGTCACAGCAGTTGTGACACGTCGTGGAACTGGGCACTCTGTGATTGTCTTCTGTCCTGAGTCACTTCTCCGTCCAGACTGAGGTCGAAGAGACCTAAGGGCAGAGGTCACCTCTCTGGCTCCCGCAGGTAGGGCCGGGAACACTGTCTGTGTGTCCACCTGCTGTTTCATGGAGGAGGTCTCCTCAAGTCTGGCCACAACCCAATGGTTTGGGCCCTCATCTCAACACAAAATGGCCCTAGAAGTTTCCAGACTTGTGCTCGCAACTTATCACAGCTTTTGGGGACACCTGGCCTGATCCAGCAGCTGCTGGATTCGAGTTCTGAGGGTCCAAGTTCATGGGGGGGGTTCAAGAATGGGAGTCCAGCTCCCCACCCTCATGGAAAACATCCCACATCTACCCAGCTGGTGGACGCCCAGCCCCACCCCCATAGGTCTGTCAGTGACCCACTTGGAAAACAGCCAGCTCCTCAAGTGATCTCGGTGTGGTACCCAACACAGTGGGTGTCTGCACACCAGCAGGCTGGCACCCGCCCTGGGAGGAGCCTGCCATGTGGGTAACATGAACCCCAGGGCCCTCACAGCCCGAGGCTCTGTGTTCAAGGCCAGGGAAGTGCTAAGCGAGGGGGTCCCAAGAGCGGTACTGTATGGGGGCACTGAGGATGTGGGAGCTGCTCAGTCCCAAGGTGTTTGTCTGTCTCCCCCTCCACCTCCCTAATCCCTGCTTTCAGAGGATCCCTGCCCCACCAGAGTTTGCAGGGGCTTCTAGCTCTTTGCCCTGTACACCCTGTTTCCCACCAGGGTCTAGGCCAAAGGCTCCCCCAGGCCTGTGACACTCCGCTGAGGTGGCATGACCAGGTTGTGCAAGGCAGGCTCACCCGTACCTGGGTGAGGACCTGGCACCCTCCCAGGGGCCTAACCAGCCTGGGAACTGGGCTGAGAAGCCTGCAGGCCCTGCCTATCCTGGGAGAGGTTGCAGAGGGCTGGGAGGGGGCTCACTGAGCTCACGGGGTTATACTTTTGTCCAACAGAGATAGTCACAGCCTCAGACTGAGTCCCCAGTCCTGGGCCAGAGGGACAGACAGACCAAATCCTCCTGTGGGCAGTTAGGTACCAGTGGGGGTGGGGGTGGGGGAGAGGCCCAGGCAGGATGGGCTCAGAGATCGGGTGTGCAGGAAGGTAAGTGAGTGGGCGTCCCCAGGCCAGCCCAGGCCAGGGCTCAGGGCAAGACTGACTCCAGACGGAGATGCAGCTCAGGGTCCAAATGCTGACTTCAATCCAGCTGGGCCACTAATGAGACATTCAAGTGCTCACCCCACCCCACCCCCTCGGGCTGGTGCTCTGCCCACAGCAGACCCAGCCCCCTGCCACCCACTCAGGCTGTTGTGATGGGATGATAGGGCAGACCCAGGTCCCCTTTCTGTGCCTCCTCCAGGAATCAGCTTGGGCGGGGCGGGAGACAAACAGACCAGGGGCTCTGGACGTATACCCCCAGCAAGAAACCATGCTAAGAGGCTCACCCCAGATACATGTGACTGTCCACTGCTCCCTGCCCCCCCCCCATCCCATGCTGGGGACTGGCCAGGACATGGAGGTGACCGGGATACTGAGTGGCCATGTGAGTGCAGAGACCAGACAAGGCATGGGCAGGGCCCGTGCTAGCAGGTCACCCAAGGAGAGTGAGGTGGAAGTAACATCAGTCACAGACTGGGGGCCTCTGGGAGGAGGGGGCTCCAGAACACAGGGAGACAGGTGTGGGGCAGCCTGGTCAGTCACCCCACCCCCTGTGCCACCCTCTGCCTCCTAGTCACAAGCTGATTCAGGACTCATACCCTCACCTTCAATTGGCCAAGCATTCCTCTGCCCCAGAGCTTGGGGCTAACTCCCCACCAGGCCCTCCCACCATGCACACCCCCAGTTTCGGACTCAGAGCATGGAGCCAGGCTTTGAAGCTGAGGGAGGGGTGTGTTCTGTATTGCCATCTGTCCCACAAGATTCCCAGGGTTAGTCACAGGAGTGGGCAATCCCAGCCACAGAGTCATCTGTGAGGTCCCTCCACTCAGTTCACAGAGAAGGGTTGACACGAAGCAGGAGGGCTGCAGGCTAGACAACAGGCAGCACTTCCTGAAAAGGTGTCCAGGGTAGGGCCCTGTGAGTGGGCAGGGGCAGATAGTGGGGTAGGGGTGTCAGCTGGGGTCGGGCCCAGCCCAGCCCAGTCTTCAGGACAGACAAGGCAGGGAGAGCTTGGTGAGAAGCTGGTGGGGTTGCCTGTAGTTTCTACAGTAGCTGTTCTGAAGGCCACAGGCTGGGCTGATGGACAGATGCCAGAGGTGGGGTCCTCCTTCCTTGGGGAAAGTCTACCTGGCTGCTCTGGCCTCCAGTACAGCATGTGCCCACCCTAGAGGCCCATGGAGGCAGGCTTGCTCCATCTTGGTCTTCTCCCAGATGACCCAAGTCCAAGACCTGCATCTACATGAGGAGTCTCGGGGAAGGGGTGCTTACTGGGCCTAGGCTGGGCCTGTCACATGTGGTCCTTCAAGAAGGTTACCAATTCCAGGTTTCTGGCAGATTCCGCCTGTGGGAGCGGAATCCTGACCCACAACCTTAGCCACCCTGGGCCTCTCTGGCTGTTTGTACCTCCAGGATGGGGAGGAAGCAGCCCCCACCCGGCTTCAGCATGTGAAGTGTGTCCACCAGGACAGCTAGACTGTCCATGTATCCGGATTTGGGCACTTTCCGGGGGAGGAGGAGGGGACCTGAGGGGGCCTTCCTGGAGGAGGTAGCAGTTGGGCAGGGCACAGGGAGCACTCACAACCTGCAAGGGACATCGTCCATCATAGCCTGGCTGCCCCAGGTCTGCCCCCGCAAGCCACCACATTTACAGACCTTCTGCCTCTGCCAGGGAAGTCAGCCTGGAGGTAGAAGGGAAATGTCAGAGCCTGGAAGCTGGCCAGGGCCCCCTCTTCCAGCAAAACCGGCCCCAAACAGCTGACCCAGCAACACAGGGCATCTGGGCGACGTGGAGTCTGGTTTCACCTGGTGGGTGTGACAATCACCCAAATTGGGGCGCACACACACATACATGCACACATGGGAGCGTGCACACTTGCGCCCCCACCTGCTGGGAGTTCCTTGTCAGTTTCGTATTTCACAACCTGTGGAGGCAGCGGCCTGGGCTTCAAAGAGGGAGTTACAGGCACACTGGGTACCATCCCTGAGCCCCACAGACGACATGGGGGTTCCTGGCTGGGACAGGGGCCAGGACTCACTCTGCCCTGGAGACCAAGGTGGGGGAGAGATCTAGTGGTCCTCCAGGACCCAACTGTGCCTAAAAGGGAGCCCATTCTGACACTGGCATCGGGGGATAGGTGGGCAATTCCAGGAGACTCACACCCTTCCCAAGCCCCATGTCCCCACTAGAGATGCCACCTGCCTCTCCCTGTCCCTCCCCAGCTCACCTGGGACAATGGTGTTTGTTCCTCCTCCTGTGAGGCCTAGTTGCCCCACTCAACTTCAGTTTCCCATCTGTCAGTGGGTGCCCCCAGCTCCCCAGGACCCACCCATACCCCATGGTCTCAGCAGGTTCAGGTACAGCCGTGTGTGGGTGGGGAGGCTCACTCCTAACTCCCATCCCTGCTGACTTGGCCTCTGCTGGCTTGATGTGCTGATGACCCTCACCTGCGCAGCTCCATCCCCACGTCCTTCAACTCCTGAGAAGACAGGTAGGTCCTAGATGCCCACAGCAGCTTGATCACACCCCAATGCCTGTCGTGAGAACGTTGAGCTAACGACCTGCCACAGCCCAGGTTCCCCTGGACCCAGACCAGTGTCCCTCTCAGGTTTCAGTCATTTCTACTGAATAGTCCGTAAGTATGGTCTCACCCCCAGCCCCTGGAGACACCCTTGAATGGCCTCCAGAGGCCAGGCGCAGGGCTGAAGCAGGGAAAACGGAGTCAACCAGACCAGCTTTGTCCTTAAGGTCGGGACATTGGGTGAAACAATGGAGCCAGGGTGGCAAGAATGCCAGGACTGTGGGCAGAGATGGACCTATGCTTTCCAGAGGCAGAGGGACAAAGTGTTCTAAGGCCCTGAGGCTCTACAGCATGGGGTGACGTGCCACCCACCACCACAGCAACATTGCTAACAGGACCCTTCCCCTGCCAAGTTCCGACAGTCACCCCATATTTAGAGACCATTAGGAGGGTCCCAGACCTTACTCCCCATGGGGAGCTCTTGGTGGTGGGCTGGGATCTTTGTGCCCAGCTAAGCAGATGGGCCCCTGGCCGGCAGCCTCGAGGAGCCAGGCAAGGAGGGAGTCAGGGAGCCCAGACCGGTCTGGGGGGTGTTGTGACAGTCAGGGCGGGGACGAAGGGCTGGGCAGGTGAGCTCATCCTCCTGCTGCCCACCCACGCCCCAGGACGCCAGTCTGGAATCCCAGCCCAGACCTTCCCCCTGAGCTAGGCGCCAAGGCCCAGACCCTCCCACACACCATCAGCCCCTCTCCCTCCTGACCACCTGCCACCAGGCTTGTTCTGAAACCCACGGCAAATAACTCCTATGATATTCACTGGGGCCCATGAGAAAAATTCTGTCAGTACTGAACCCAGTTCACAAAGGGTGACTCAATCTGCCAAGGGCTCCCAGTGGTGGGGACTCAGATTCACAGCAGGGGGACTCAGATTCATAGCAGGGGGACTCAGGATCACAGCTGGGGGGTACTCAGGATCACAGTCGGGGGGGGGGAAACTCAGGGTCACTGCAGAGGGGCCCAGAATCACAGCACAGGGGACTCAAGATCACAGAAGGGGGACCCAGAATCACTGCAGGGGGAACCCAGGATCACAGTGAGGGGGTCTGCGGATATTCTGTGCTGATGACTCCAGCACAGCTCTGCCCCCACCTCTCTCCATGAGACTCAGGAGCACCCCAAGTTCTGCAGGTCCTGTGCCCCCAGATGAGGTTCCAGAGAGGCTGGCGAAGTCCCTACATGGACCCAAATCACTTTTGCATCAGGAAGCAAGGAGTGCAGAGGCTGGAGAGCAAAACTGGATCTAGCAGTCCCAGCCTGACTCATGCACATATGTGTTCCTGCTTGCACACAAATGCACACATCCCCACATGCAGACATGCCCATGTGGGGTCACATATGAACATGTATGCGCACACACTTTCCTTCATATGTGCACATGCTTGTGTATTCCTGCATGTGGACACACTCATGTGTTCCCACATACACATGTGTTTCTATATGCAGACATGCTCTGTGAGTTCCTACATACATATACATGCTCCGGTGTGCCCGCACATGCACACACATTACTTATGCACATGTGCTCATATGTGTCCCCACACCAACAACATGCTCATGTGGGTTCCCACATGCACATGCATGCACATGCATTCCCACATGCACACAAATGCTCACATATGTTTACACATATATGCCCTGCAGACAAGTATTCTCACAAGTGTAAAAACCTGTTCACACGTGTTCCACTTACATGCCACATGCATGTGTGTTTTCATTTTCAAGTAAGCATGTATGTTCTTGCATGCACACACATGCTCACACATGTTCACACAAGGACACACATACTCATGTAGGTTAACGCATGGACGTGTATATACATGCATGTTCCCACGTGCATACAATGCTCACATGAGTTTCCACACACATGTATTCTCGCTGGTAAGCGCACACGTTCCTATTTGAACACACATGCACATGCATTTGTTCCTGTGTACTTGTATGCACACATTCTCTCACACATGTGTTCCCCACGTGCCCACATACACACACGTGCCCATTTGCTTGGCATCTATACCACGTTAGGCTGGAGAGGAGGTGTTCAGAGATAAGAGACTTTGGGGCATAGAGGTGTGTCCCCCACCCTTAGCCACAACTGAGTAGCTCCGGCCTTGGAGGGCCCTGGCTCCCTGACGATGCATGCAGCAGCCCTGAGCACACCCCCAAGTCTACAATCAGGCAGGGGCTAACCCTCATCACCCTCTAACCCCAGCAGCCCCACCAGAGGACACATGGCATCTCTGGCCCCCCAGTCTTCAATCAGACAAGGGGCTAACCCTCATCACCCTCTAACCCCACCAGCCCCACCAGAAGACACTGTGGCATCTCGGGCCCCCAAAGCTCACTCCTCGTACCGTTTTCTGGCCCACCCGAACTCTGTGACCAGGAGTTCAGTCAGAGCTAGGGACTGGTGCTGTGAGCCAGTGTCCCCATTGATGACCACCTCCTTTGTAAGTCTGTGTCCGGAACCATATCCCTTCACACACCATCACTGCAGGTGCAGCCCCACCACCACCACATCACAGGTGAGGACATCAGTGGGGAACTCTGACAGACCTCGGGACTCCCACCTGGCCTCTGACCTGCCCCTCAGGGCCCCACATTTGTCTGTGTCCCACCCAGCTGGCCCAGTATCTTCAGGCTTCAGTCCAAGCTCAGTCCCCACAACCTACCCACCATGGCCGCATCCTGCCTTTCAAAAACCAGGGTTTGGTGGTTGAGGCCAGCTAGGGGTCTACTCTCTGTCTCTGGTGCCCCTCCCTCCCCTCAGACTGACCCTGCCTCTGAGGGCACCTGCACAGCAACCTCCACCCACCATGTGCCTAGTGACCTGGACGGCCTCCTTCTCCTCTCCTTATCCCTGACCACACCAGATCAGTGAGACCCCCCAGGCCCTTCTGCTTTAGTGGAAAACCTTTGTTCCTGTCCAGAAAGTCCATGCCAGGGGCCTGCTGGACTCAACACCTCTGAGAAGCCATCCCTGACTCCCCTTTCTCAGAGCCTGTCCCCCACATGGCCACTGCAGGATGGGGAGTTTGAGGGGCTCTTGGATCCCTCCATTCTGTTCCAGGAGACTGTGTAACCTCAGGCGAGCACTGACCCTCTTTGTGCCCTGCCGTCCTAACGGCCCAAGATGGTTCCATCCCCCTGCCCTGTCCACATCCTGTATCCTCCCTACCCAAGGCATCTCTGTCACCTGCCCTTGTCCATATCCTGTCAAGTACCTGCCCCTCACGGCCAGCAACAGCGGGCTGAGGCCATCCCCATCTCGGGAATTCACACTGCCACCTCCTTGAAGCAACAATCAAACGACTTCAGTGTGGCCCATCAGGGCGGCCGCGTGCAGTGGGGCCTGACCATTTTAAATCCCTCCATGACCAGGTCATTGCCCTGGGTGGATACAGAGCTGCCATTCCCTCCCAGGGCCTGGCCGAGGCTAGAGTACCCCAGAGAGCAGGCAGCTCACCAACTTTGCCAGCAGTATTTGCAGTGTCTCCAGGGCACCAGTGTGGGCTGCAGCACAGACTAGGCTGGGCAGCAGAATGTCCAACACAAAGTCCAGCTCCTGGGGTGGGAGGCATCAGCAGTAGAACCCAACCCTGTAGTGCGCCCCTGGGATCCCCAACATTCAAGGGGGCCGAGCAGACGTTGCGTGAACACCAGCCACCCCAGAGAGCCTCAGTGGATGGATTCCTGAGTTAATTTAACCAGCTGCCTCACTCACACCCCTGGGAACAGAAAAGCCTGGACAATCACACCCAAAAGTACCGGGTTGGATTCTCACTACCCCTCCTAGAGGCCCACCCAGACCCCCACTTCCTGGGAGCAAACAGACTCCTTCCAGAAGGTCCCACATGGACTCCTTGAAGGTCCCCACTGCTGCTGAGGAAGCTGGAAGAAATACACAAGTTGTAGGGTGCACAGGGAGTATCACCTCAAATCAGGGCCCGGTGCCCATGTGGCCATGTCACAGGCCCCTCCAGACTGCCATGGATTCCCCAGGAGCAGCAACAGCCGGGGTCCGAGCAGAGACTGACCCACACTTGACCGCCGCCTACAGTCCCATCCCAAAGCTTGAGTCCCCACATCACTAAATGCTGCTCACCCTAATAACAGGCCACTGGCCCAGCCTTTCCTGCTCCCAAAGTGGCATTAATACCCAGTTACAAGCCCTACACCCACTCCTGACCTACAGGGTAAACCAAGGCATGGGGCTTACAGTGTATCCCAGGAAGGGCTGGGAAGCATGCCTATGCCTGATCCTTGTAACAGAGCGGAGGGGGGGGGGTGGTCATGAGGCACAAGGAGTCTGCCCTCATCTGAACCCCAATGCCTGATTTATGTGCTGGTGTGTGATGGGGAGCTTCCCCCAATACCTAAGGTTGGACCACTTCTCCAGGGGCTGGAGGGACCTAACTGTTGGCCTGGAACCCTCATCTCAGAGCTAGAGAGATTCCAAGTGGACACCCCGGCTCTGATGCACAGCACCCCAAAGACCACTCCTCAGGATGCAGCTGGGTCAGTCACCTGGTCCCTTGGCACTTCTCCAAGGCTCCCTGAGGCTCTCCCTTCAGGGACTCTGAATTTGCCCTGACTGGAGCCCCAGACTGCTGGCTGTATGGGGCTGAAGGAGTACACTGACCCTTGATCCCACAGTAACTGGCTGTGTCTCAAGCTGAGGAACTGGGTCAGCTGGTGCCCCATGGTGCCACTGGGCAGTGAGTGCGGGAGTCCAGCTCTCGCCGGGTCACGGGACACGAGAGGAGATGCGGAGTCGGCGGGAGCAAGGGAGAGGTCTTCGCTTAGTTGGCTGATGGAGCTCTCTCTCAGGCCCAGCTCAGCAAGTCTTTATTTTTATACTCAAAATCACACAATACATAATGAATTGATACTTTGATCTTTCCTTGAATTATTACACAGTTTATCACAATATTCCTACACCTGGTCATTAGACAACCTTGACAAAAATATTTCTGTGATGTTCAAACTGACTTTCATCTCCTTTCCTAGTATGTGACAAATTGTTTCTTCTTGTTTCCACTAAAAGATTAAGTCAAACTCTACACAAATCATTTCTACTTATCAGACCCCTGATTACATTTTCTTAGTAACATTGTTATTGTTGTTAAGTGCCATCGAGTCATTTCCAACCCACAGCGACCCTGTACAGGGTTTCCGAGGCTATAAATCTTTACGGGAGCAGAAAGCCTCATCTTTCTCCCGTGGAGCCGCTGGTAGTTTCGAACTGCTGACCTTAAGGTTTGCAGCCCGATTCGTAACCACTATGCTACCAGAGCTCCCTTTCTTAGTAACATAAGTTTCTATTAATCATCAATGCTTGCACTACCTTATTATTTCTACTAATTATTAATCTTCTATCCTACATAATGTACTACTATTTTCATAGTAAAAGTATTACTAACATCTACTTAATTATTTTGTTTTTCTAAAGTATTCATTAAATTGCTTGATAACAATGTTTTTATGTTCCTTTCTTTTTGAAGCTGTGTGGCATAAAGCCCAACCTGGTTAATTGCTGCAGGAAATGTAGATTATCAAGTTAAAACTACCCTTCACTTAAGTTCATTATTTTCTGCCTATTTACGCAGGTGCTTGTATGTAGGGGTTTGTGTATTCTGGCAGGTGACTGATAGTGGTGAGGTCTGTAGGGGTCGGTCAGCTTGACTTTAGTTTGCTATCTGCTCTTGTGGTCTCATAAATGCAGTTACTTTGTACTTAGGTTTTCTGTGAAGGGGAGTTGCTTATACAATTCTCTTTGAATTCAAACTACTGAAGTTGAGATAATTGTTGCTAGACTGATTTTTTTTCCCAAGGTTTGCAGAGCTCACAGTAAAGGCTCTGAATACGGCAATATTATATATTTTTACAAGTGAATTCAGAGTTATCCTGAAGAGAAGATAGAGGCCAGCTTCTAAGAATTATCTGCTTTGCATGATGTTTATTCTTCTGCTGGGACCGTGTCAAACAGCAGAAGCCAAGCTGCGCCCCACAAGTGAGGGCTAGTGTTCATCCGACGGCAGCGTCATCTCACCCCGAAGGTTCTGGACCAGCAGCTGCACGGGAGCACATGGACCACTGTCAGTCCAGAGGGACCACCAGGGCCAGGCCTCGGGGCTGGAAGCCCACTGCTGGTGCGTCCCTTAGGCTGGAAGGGGACCGGCCAGGCCCATGCACAGGGCAGTCCACCCTCACCCTGCTTGCCCCCAGCCCCCTCCCCTCTCAGAGGGGAGCCACCAAAGAAGGAATAGGCGCCTGAAAGGGGAGAGGGAGCAGGGAAATCAAGCAACGCTTTGGGGACCTTTAGCCTGTAGTGGGTCGCCCCCATATCCCAGCCCCTAGGTTGGCCCCCACGCTCTCCTGAGTCCCCAGGAAGGTCCTCAGAAACCCAGAGCACCTTCTTCCGAGCATCCAGACTCAGCCCCGGCTGACCCAGCACAAAGGCCAGCTTGGCCAACGCCGCCTCCGAGGTCATGTCGTAGCCCAAGATCAGGCCGGTGTCCATCAAGGCCTGTGAAGGGGGCGGGGAGTGCATGCTCACCCTCTGTCCCACCACACCCCGCAGGCTGCACTGCCCCTCCTCCAGCCCGGCCGCAGAACCCCGCCCACCGTGCCGGAAGCGTAGTCACAGTTCACCGAGCCGTGGAGACATTGGGTGCAGTTAAGGATGAGTATGCCGCGGCTGGTGGCAGCCCGCAGTTCCTGAAGAAACTCAGGCTTTGTGGGCCCGTTGCCCGCGCCAAAGGTCTGCAGGACCACGCCCTTAATTGGGGGCTGCAGGAAGGCTCGGACCTGTGAAGCCAGAAGAGGGCAGGGGTCTATAAGGAGAGCCAGGAGTCAGGGTTGGGAAAGACAGAGCCAGTGGGCAGGGCAAGGGTCGTGGGGAGCCTTGGGGCCTACCAGGTAGGCAGGGATCCCGGGATACAGACGCAGCACACCCACGTTGTCCTCCAAACAATGCACTAGCAGCTGGCCCTGCTCAGGGACCTTCCGCACCAGATGCCAGTTAACTGCAGACAGAGGGAGGGTGAGCCGCTGCTGACACCCACATACCTCTGGGCCCAGACAGGCCTTGCCTGTCCCTAGGACCCAGAACTCCACAGTATCTCCCAGAACCCTTTCACTCATCCTAGGAGCCAGGTTTGCAGGGCTGGAGGAGGCACAGGACTTAGAGGAAGAGGCAGGTGACACCAATTCTGAGGCTAAAGGTCTCCTGAAAGGGGTCAGTGAGGCACACAGCTGCAAAGGCCTGGGCACGAGCCTTCCTGTCTCCATAGGAAAGGGAGCTGCTGGCACAGGGGTTTGGAGTTCTGTATCCCAATAGGAGTGTGGCGCCCCGGGGAAGTGGGGCAGATGCCCACCATAGCCTCTCCTTCCAGCACAACCTCTGACCCATCACCACACTCTGACCCTGCTGACCTACACAGAGTTCTGAACCTACACGCTCAGGGCCTGGGCTTCTGAGTCTAAAAGTCGAAGGAACAAGGGTGAGTCAAGGAATTGATGAATGAATGAGTCTGGCCCTGTTACCTTTAAGGAAAAACAACCTTCATCTAACTTACTCCTAATCCTGCCTCTGGAATGTGAGGCCCTGAAGGGCTCACACCTAAAGGGTCAGTCTGTGCACAGTGTGATCAGAACTTCCCCCCAACACACACTGAGGGAGGAAGAGGGGAGCATACAGGCAAAGCAACCCATCCCACAGGGGGTCAGGTTGAAAATGGGGCTCCAAGACTCAATGCAAGGTGCCTCCTTTCCTGATCTGGAGTCCATGTGACAATACACAGAGCCGCTCAGCACTGACCGCTTCTCAGGACCCTGGCAGGGCTAGGGGCTGTGTGGGCAGGGAGGACAAGCCAGGTCCTCCACTCCCCGCCACTGCATCAATCAGCCAGACAGAGCTGGGCACCTGGTGTCTCAGCTGGTAATGCAGATAAGGTTGTTGCCACCTCGGTTCTCAGACTTTTGGCTCCAGAGAGGATGTTCAGAGAGCTAGCTCCCTCTGAAGGAACAAAGATGCTATGAAATCCTCGGAGAGCTAGAGGGGGCTCCTCCACACCCCAAGTCCTTCCTGCCCTGGGCTCCTGGACGGCACAGCTGGGAGAAGTGGATGACAGGGTGGGCTGGGCCAGTGAGGCCCAGTCAGTGGGGCCGTGAGCTTCCTAAAGGCCCCAGGTCTTCCAGCACAGCATGGATGTACCATACCACTGTGACACCCGTGTGGCCAGGGGATACTGTGAATTTCCCTTTCCTCACAGGACACCTACCTGCCCCTCATCCTGGCTTGAAGAGGGGTGGGGGATCACCCACTGATGAGCTGACAGACAGTGGATGAGTTGTCCCTGGCCTAGCTGGGACCCACTCTGAGGGACCCTGATATAGGGATGGGAGTGGGGTGGGCAGGCGTGGTACCTGGGGCGGGGGGGTGCGGCATGGTGGGGGCAGGCTGAGGTAGGACCTGGCTCCACCTCATCCTGTATCCAAGGGAAACCCTGCCTCCTCATCCAGATGACCCCCATGGTGCTACTCATGGGTCCAGCTTACTTGTGGTGTCAGCACCCAAGGTAGCCAGAGGAGGCAGGTTAGGGGACCTGAATGCCGAAAACCTCCGAGAGTCCACTTTGGTGGTCCTGTTACCCCGGAACAACTGGTTCTGGAAGAAGAGACAGACCTGCAGGAAGGAAGGACAGAGACTCAGCTGCCATCCTGTTGTCCTCCAGCTTCCGTTCTACAATCCAGGGGGCCCCCACCCACCGCAGACAGCGTAGCAAACCCATAGTCCTGCAGGGTCCACCCCCACGAAGCCCAAGACAGGGAGTCTTCATAAATGCCTCCCTGAAATAAGGAAGGATGCTGATGGGAAAGAAAACTCAACTTCAAATCTGTTATTGGTAATCTTCTTTACCCGAGACATACACACACATATGTTGTTGTCCACAGTCAAATCGGTTCTGACTCATAGTGACCCTGTATAGGGTTTCCTTGTGGTTCGCAGCCCAGTGCATGTCTTCCCGCACCGTGCCAGGATTCCACGTGCATATAGTATAAAAAGTTAGTTGCAATCAAGTCGACTCCAATCCCTGGCGACCCCGCATGTGTCAGAATAGAATTCTTCTCCATGGCTGAGTTTTCAGAAGTAGATTGCCAGCCCCTTCTTCTGAGGTACTTCTGCATGGCCTCGAACCTCTAACCTTTCAGTTAGCAGTCAAGCATGTTTACTGTTTGCACCACTAGGGACTTGGCATATAAAATCGAGAAGAAACTAGATCACACTGTTAACAGTGGCGGTGTCTGGGAAGTTAGACGGGGATGATTTTAGTCTCTATTTTCTCTCTTTTCTTCCATCGATCGTGTATTGTGTGTATAAAACAATAAGATAAAAAATTTAAATCCAACTTGGCACCTCACCTGTGTGCCTTTCCCTAGTACCCTCCCCGGATTCCTAGAGCACCCACAGGCTCTGGGCACCCCATCCCCAAGCTTAGCCCACGAAGCCAAGCATGTCTACCCATCAGGTACCTCAGGGATCAGGTACTGGCCAGCTATGAGCAGCGCCCCCAGCAGGTTCTCCCGGCTATCGTTCCAGAGGGCGTGGATGGGCACCTGGAGGAGAGGCCACCAGGTTAAGGGAGGGGTTAAGGGGCTCATAAGCTCCTCCAGCCTCTCAAGGAGCCCCACAGGTGGGTTTGTCCCTTGGTCTGAGAGAGTGTGGAGGGCTGGGAACTGTCTGCTCAGAGAAGGTAAGGCACAGCCATACCATGTCCAAGCCAACACCACCCCTCCAACATCATACCTGCTGACAATGTCAGCCTGCACCCAGTACCTCCACTGGACTTCCTTGCTGGCAGCGCCCCTCACCCCAAGGAACCAAGTGGCCAACATTCTCCAGTTCTTGGGCCCCATTACCTGGGCCCCGGTGATGATGACAGGCTTCTTCAGGTTCTCCAGCATGAAGGACAGCATGGAGGCGCCATAGGCCATGGTGTCGGTGCCGTGGAGGACCACAAAGCCATCATACTGATCATAGTGTTTCTGTGGGTGGGCGGCACGTTCAGCCAGGGTTCACCCTCTCCACTGCTCCCTCCAGTCCCACATGGGAGCCTCTGGGGTCTCCCACACTCCCTTCAGTCAGGACAGTGTCCTCCGGGCCTGGGGATTATTTCAGAACTAGCTCTGAACCCCTGGAGAGGTCAGTGCTGAAAACCAGCGCCTCTGCACATTGCGGGGGGTGGGCGGCTGTGAGGTGAGCCACCCCTACCTCTCCAACTCATATAGCCTCTACATAGAGGAAGGGACAGGGTGGACAGTTAACAGGGAGAAGGTCTTCCAGGCTCAAGCCACAATCTTGAGGAAGTGGGGGCTTGAGTAGAGGTTGCTTACGGCCCCTTCCCAGGTCACCAGTGCCCAGAAGGCGGCCACTCTGGGAGCCCGTGGGTGAGTGACAGGCCGAGGGCCCAGTGTCCCAGTTCTGAGAGCCTGAACCCTTCATGGGGACCTTCAAGCCAGCCAGCTGCTCAAAGGGCGGAATGGGGCGCCCTCTTCTGGTCGCATGGGGGACACGGTTGAGTGGTCGCAAGTGGGTGGTGGGCAGGCGAACTCTTAGCACCCTAAGGACAGAGTCTTGGGTCTCAGGGACAGGGGCTATGGTTCCCTTGGCCAGACCAGACACGCCTAGAGCGACCCCAGCCCTTTGGGAATGCAAGGGCTACCGCTGTCCCACACTGTCCAGGAGCAAGCCGGCTGAAACTAGGAAGCCTTTCCTAGTGCCACTGCGGGAAGCAAGTGGGACTTGGGCCTGGGGCTGTGTAGAGGTGGGAGGTGACCCTGCTGAGGTCACGTGCAGGCCTGGGGATTATTCCAGAACTATCCCTGCACCCCTGGAGAGGTCTGTGCTGAGGACCAGGGCCTCTGCCCATTGGTGGGGACGGGGCGGTTGTGAGGTGCCCGGATGGATGTTTGTCCCAGAGGAGCCCTCCCGTCAGAAGCCTGCAGTGGAGTGAAGACACGAGTGCCCCCAGGTGGCAGACAGCATCCTAGGCCTTCCCCATCTGACCCGCCAGAGCTTCTCTATGGCCAGAACCCATCAGGGCCGGCCCCACCCTGCTCTAGCCCAGCCCCCAGGCCGGCTCCACCCACCGAGCCCCGCCCACGCCACGCCCTGCCCGGCACCTTGATGGTTTCCGCAATCTGAAACCACTGGGAGATGGTCATGTCACTGGAGTCAAAGAGCTGTTGCCATTCCAACACCGTGTAGCTGACCCTTGGGCCGCGGCTGGGGCTGCAGGAGACAGAGGCTCAGCGGTCTGCCCCCGCGGTCCCACTGGGGTCTACGATCCTCCTGCAGCGTGACCCCAAAGACAGGGTCTGGGGTCCCCCGGACACGACTCTGAGTGGGCTGCTGAGAACCCTGGGCCAGCCAGGAGCCCTCCCCGCTCCACCCGCCGCAGAGGGGTTTGTACCTGGAGGTGGGAGTAGGCACTTGGACCACAGCCAAGAGCCTCCCCGCAGGAGACTGGAGCAAAGGGCCAGGGGGCAGTTCCTGGGCAGGTAGTGACCACACCCCTGTCTGTGCAACCCAGCGTCCTCTCTGGTGGTGAGGCCATACACATGTACGAAGGCTTCCCTGAGTGTGTCCTCTCCAAATCAGGGTCTGCTCCCTCCTCCCCTGTGGGCCCAGCCTGAGCTCCCCACCCCACCCCACCCCACTCACGGCAGCATCAGGGTGTCCTCTGGGAGGTTCAAGGATCGGGCACCGTCCTCATCATGGAACATGGCGAGTTTCCTCAGCACAGCGGCCATGCCCTGCCCGGGTACCAGCCCTGCAGACAAGCCCAGGGAGAGTGTGGGTCAGTGCCAGGCCCCAAACACCTTACAGCCAGCCCCAACAGGCAAGTCCAGCGAGGGTGGGTCAGTGCCCACCAGCACAGCCCCAAATACCTTACAGAAGGAAGTCGGGGTCTGGGGGACAAGGATGGGCAGCTGCTCCCTGGCCTCCCACCCAGACAGCCCCAGGGCCTCCTCCTGGGCCTGCTCTGGCCACTCCGTCCACCGTCTGCCTCTGCTGACCCCTGATTCTGGAGGAGTCCACCCACTCTCCGGACAGGATCACAGACATGGCACCCCCAGCCTATCCTCTCAGCCTGCACCCATCATCTGACCCAGGCTCCCCAGATGCTGTACTCTTCCCAGACCATAAAGACCCACCTCCAGGAAGCCTGCTGGACACCTAGGCCAGCTGCCCTCTCCTGCATGCTCCCAGAGCTCGTGGCCTCTGATTCGTCACTGAGCTCAGGAGGGCCTTACAAACATGGAATGCCCCATCAGTGGCACCCTCTGCCCTCAGAAACCAACCCCAAATCACCTCCTACCCCATTCCTTCTGACCCCAATGCCCCTAGCCCTACCCTGCAACCCCCACCCCAGGCCAAGGACCAGTTCTTGAGCCTCCGCCCTGCTGCATTCTTTTCACAGACTTATTGGTACTATCGTGTGGCTCTGACTCAAGTGCACAGAGCAGAGCTGAGCTCTGAGGCTTTCAGGGCTGGAACTTTTCAAAAGCAGACCACCAGGTCTTTCTTCTGAGGAACTTCTGGGTCAGGTTTACAGTGTGGGTTAGGGTTTCAGCTTGAACTAGTTTTAGGGCTGTGGTTGGACTATGTTTAGGATTAGGGTAAAGGTTAGTTTTAGAATTAGGCCTGGGAATAAGATTGGGTTAAGGTTTAGAGTCCTGATGTAGTGCTTCAGGATAATTCATTGGACAGAAAGGCCATTCAGAACCGACTCAACAGCACTTAATAACAACACCAAGGTTGAGTGCTTGCCACTCATCTATCAGTTTGTCACAATGTGGTGGGAGCCAGACCACAACCCCAGCCCTAGGCTTGACTCCAAATCTAACCCTTACGTTAACAACAGTACATGGGACAGGATGGGGAGCTGCCAGAAACTCAAGTCAAATTCAGAAAAGGCCCTGGAACGAGGGACATCATGGCTGATGGATCTTGGCTGAAAGCAGAGAAGGCCAGAAGGATCTTGACCTGTGTCTTATTGGCTATGCAAAGGCATGTAACTATGTGGATCAGAATAAATTCTAGATAACCCTGCAAAGAGGAACTCCAAAACACTTCACTGTGCCTAGACCAAGAGACCATCCCAGCAGAACCAGGGGGTACTGCATGGTTTTAAATCAGAAAAAGTATACAAGATTTTACCTTGTTTATTCAATCTTTGTTGTGGTCATAGTGTGCCAAGGAGTGTTTCCAACTCAGAGCAACCATGTATAGGATTTCAGAGGCTGCAAATCTCTACAGAAAGCCTCCTCTCTCACACTAAGAGTGACTGGTGGAGTCAAACCACCAACCCTGCCATTAACAAGCCAAGGCGTAACCCACGACAAACCCAAGGCTCTGTTCAATCTGTATGCTCAGCCAATAACCGGAGAAGTGGGATTATATGAAGGAAAATGCGGCATCAGGACTTGAGGAGGGCTCATTACTCTTCTACACACAGAAGACACAACCTTGCTTGCTGAAAATGAATAGGACTTGAGGTACTTGCTGATGAAGATCAAAGACTACAGCCTTCAGTGTGGGTTGCATCTCAATGTAAAACAAATAAAACTCCTCACCACTCCACGATTAAATAACATCATGATAAACGGAGAAAAGATTGACGTTGTCAAGGATTTCATTTTACTTGGATCCACAATCAATGCTCATGAAGGTGGTTGTTGTTAAGTACCCTCGAATCACTTCTGACTCATAGCTACCCTGTATAGGGTTATCAAGTAGCAGCTCTTGAGTTTGAACTGCTGACCTTCTGGTTCAAAGTCTGGTGCTGATTCACAGCACCACACCCACAATCAATACATCAAATGACATAAAACATTGGACAAATCTGCTACACAAGCTCTCTTTAAAGTGTTCAAAAGCAAAGATGTCACCTTGAAGGCTAAGGTGCACCTGACCAAAGCCATGGTATTTTCAAGTGCTTCACATGCTGGACAATGAATAAGGAAGACCAAAGAACCGATGCCTCAGAATTCTACTACTGGAGAAGTTGCAGTTGACTGAAGATACAGGGGAATGAGCAAACCTGTTGTGGAAGATGTATATCTACACTGTGCCTTAGAAGTAAGGATACTGAGATTGGGTGATAAAGGCAGAGAGGAGGGGGCTATGTGACCTGGAGGCAGAGATGGAGTGGTGTGGCCACAAGGCGGAATGCCCGGAGCCACCACGTCCTCCCCTGAGGGAGTCAGGTCCTGCCAACTGCCTGATTTCAGCCCAATAACGCTGAGTCTGGATTTCTGTGTTGGCTGAAGCTGCCCACTTGTGACATTTGTTAGGATTCATGTGCCCCCACCCCACCTCACCCATCCCCAGCCCTCTGAGGAACGCTTTTGATGGATGGCAAGTCTGTCCTCAAGTGAAGTCGCTTTTGTCACCAGCAACAGGGGCCAGTCCTGGTTCTATTCTCGAGAAGAGGACTCTACCAGGAGAGGACAGAGCTGCCTTCACCTCATCCTGCGTCCACGGGTCACTTCCTAGAAACCTGTAATCGGTCACTTTCTGCAGTAGTGTTCCCTCCAGCACACTGTCCTCATGGGTGGGGCTAGGGAGTCCAATTTGGGGAAATTGAAGTGAGGGTTATATAGATATAGATATAGATATATAGCTAGAGAGAGAGAGAGATACAGATAGAGATATATAGATACAGATATATAGATGTGTGTGTGTGTGTATGGCAAAAACAATTCCTCTACAGCTATTAACCGAAAAGTTGGCAGTTCAAATCCATTCAGATTGATGCTGAGGCCGTGGTCTGTAGGTGGTGAACAGGTTGCAGCCAGCCTGAGCCATGAGCGGATGGGCTGTTTCACAGTGAGCCTTGCAGGCAGACAGGTACCTGGAGCTAGAGGGCAAGGGGTATAGAGTAGGGGAGACCTGAGAAAGTGGGGACCTTGGGGGTTCCTGGTGACATGGACAGACCTAGGATGGAGGGGCTGTAGAAAATGGGTCCCTGGGGAAAGTGAAGTCACAGACTGCAGAGAAAGAGAACAGGGTCAAGAAGGAGGCCAAGGGCTTGACCTCCCCACCTGGACAGCTGTAAACAGAACCAAAGCAGCCTTTCTGGTGGCCATGCCAGTTACCACATGTCTCGGAAGGTCAGACACGGCACTGGTCCTCTTTCCGTCTGTAATGGATTGGGCTGGGTCCTCCTAATGTGCTCTAGCATGCATCTGTCCATTTGTCCTATTGTGCAACCTTGTAGCTATGATGCTGGAAGCTAGGCCACCGGCATTTCAAATACCAGCAGGGTCACCCGTGGTGGACAGATGTCAGCAGAGCTTCCAGACTAAGACAGACTAGAAAATAGGAAGAGTTGTCCGACTTCTGAAAAATTAACCTCTGGGAAGTTTACAAACAGCATCAGAACATTGTCTGATGTAGTGAGCCCACAGGCCGGAAGGCACTCGGAATACGACTGGGGAAGAGCTGCCTCCTCACAGTACAGTTGACTGAACGACATAGATGGAGCAAAGCTTTCAGGACCTTCAACATGAAAAGCAACAGCTGCAAACATTCATTAACAATCAAGCCATGAATGTGAGGACAAACCTAGGAATATTGGAAGTCATCGGAATCGAAATGGACCACATCAAGATCAATGTCCTAGGCCCTAGTGAGCTGAAATGGACTGGTATTAACCATCTGAAGCAAACAATCACGTGGCTTACTTTGTCTGGAATGACAAATCGAAGAGGCGTGGTATCATATTCACCGCCACAAAGGGCATTTCAATATCTCTCCTAAAGTGCAATGTTGTCGGTAATTGGATAATATTCCTACACCTACAAGGAAAACTAATTACTATGAGTATTATTCAAATTTATGTACCAAGGACTAAGTCCAGTGACAAGAAAACTGAAGAATTCCACCAACTTCTTCAGCCTGAAATTAATCAAACATGCCATCAAGATGCAGTGATAATTGCTGGTGACTGGAAAGGGTGAAAGTTAAAAACAAAAAGGAAGGATCAGGGCTTGGAAAATCATTTTGGTGAAAGAAACGACACCAGAAATCTCACAACAGAATTTTTTAAGACCAGTAACTTATTCATTAATATTCAAGTATCTTTTTTCAGCAACATAAATAGTAAGTATACATTTGGACCTTCACTGGAATGAACATACAAGAATCAAGCTAACTGTATCTATGGACCACCACTCGTCTGTCTGACTGTCTGTCTGTCACACTGTGGTGGCTCGCATGTTTCTGGGATGCTGGAAGTTAGGCCACCTGAATTTTGAATGCTGGCAGGGTCACCCATGGGAAACAGGTTACAGCTGAGCTTCCAGACTCGGCAGAAGGAGAGACAGACTACTTCAGAATGTTTAGCAATGAAACACTGTCAGAAAGAACCAGGATATTGAGACATGATGACTAGCACCAGAATATTGTCAGATACAGTATTTGTTGTGCTGTACATAGAGTCGCTATGGGTTGGAACCAACTTGACAGCACCTCACAACATCAACAACAACACATCTATGGAAAGTGATAATGGAGGAGCTCAAAATCATCAGGCAGACCACGGCCAGGGGCCAACTGTGAGAAAACCATCAATTGCTCCTCTGCAAGTCCAAATTGAAGCTGAAAAAAATGAAAACAAGTCCATAAGAGCCAAAATCTGACCTTGAAAATGTTGTTGTTGTTGTATGCCATGAAGTCAATTCCAACTCATAGCAACCCTGTATGGGGTTTCTGAGGAGCAGCTGGTGAGCTTGAACTGCCAACCCTGTGGTTCAGACTGACTTT